CGAATAGATGTACACAGTATATCCAACATCTCCTCTCCTTACGAAAGCTCGAACCCCAGTTCGTACGACCACCCACCGCCACCGCTTGTCAGACTGGCAGGCCCGCTTCCTCAAAAGTATAGGAACCGACAAACCGACCAGGTACCAGTTGCATCGCATGCGTTGTCTAGCTACTCGACTTCTACGGGAATGGATTCACGGGACCGTAGATCACCTCCCCCGAACTATTCCAATTTGTAAGGCTCAATGTGCCTACGAAAATACAAAGATTGAGAAATACGAATCTCGGAAGCAGGGAGGTTAATTTTTCACATCATCATGAACCTTATGGATATATAGAACTCCTTGTCTTCTCGATTGAGGTTGGACTTTTTACTGGTTATGCCTGAACCCTCTTTGCATAGTTCATCTGTAGAATAAAGCATTATATATTCCACTTTGTCGATAAAACTCGCGGATGAAAACTCGGATCTGCAAAGCGAGTCGAGTTGACATTCCGGCCATTTCTCACCGTCGGACAAGTGTCGGCAGCCGCTAGAGGACCGCGCCCACTCGTACTCTTCCTTAAAAAGGCTACTCCCGTACTTTCCGGCCACCATTCACGCACCATTCGGGTTCCCACAAAGGGTTTCACAGTCGTTGCCGCCCCCCAGAACTGGCAAAAAGAAGTCGTTGGCCCTCTATGAGTAGTCCAAGCACCAGAATAGCCGTCTTTGACAATACATATGTGGGAATCAAGTATTGGCCGGCGGATAGTATCTGGTCGTCCGAGGGAAATTGGACTTTGGATGGTACCGCTCGTGTAACGAGGCAGGAAAAAGTGGGTTTTACAGTTGATTTCACAGGTGAACTCCTTTTCCGACGTTCAATTGATTTCAAACCTCACCTCCAAGTCTAGGCAATGCTATCAATGTGTATGGGACCCTCGTCAAGGATGCCATTCGAAGCCAGACGAGTTATTCGATAGATGGCAAGACTCCGGGTATCAATAATACACCAGAGGAGTACGACACCAACTATGGAGGCAATGTGCTCTATAACATGGTCTTGTTCGAGTCGCCCGTCCTCGAATATGGTCACCACGTCCTTAATGTCACCCTCGACCGCTTCTGGACGCCACAGATGCTCTTTGTTTTTGATTATGTGACGATTGGGGTGAAAGGGGATGTAGATGCCGACTGGACTATCGTTGACGATAGTGATCCTTCTATCGAGTACAGCAGAAACTGGCTCCTCGAAGACGACGCCAAATACGAATACAAAAAGACCAGAACAAAGACAGCGGTACAAGGTTCCACTGTATCTTTCAAGTTCAGTGGAACCTCTATCGAGGTCTATGGTACTTTTAGTGGGTCGGCGGGTGACCCTACCCCTATCATATCGTTCCGAGTGGACGATGGAACAACTGGAACCTTTAGTTTATCCGATACTCAAGGGAAGATGATGACCAATACCAAGTTCTATGCGCAAAATGGCTTATCGGATGGCGAGCACACGCTCCATATCGAATCCTTGACGGCAACCGAGTTTTGGCTCGACTATTTTCGCTACAAGGCCACTCTTACCGGCGACTCTGGCTCTTCTTCGACACCAAACTCGTCATCTTCCTCGAGCAAGACGTCGGTGGCTCCTATAGTTGGAGGAGTAATTGGCGGTTTTGCCGGCGGACTCTTATTGGCATTTCTCATCTTCCTTTTCTACCGTCGTCGAAAGGCGGCTCAAGGAACCCCAAAGACGGAAGAGGGGAGACATGATAGATCTATGGGACATACAACTTTCTCCAAGGCTCCACTGGTCGTAAGTGACGTGATTTATCCATATGGTTCTCAACTGATATTACATAATAGCTTCCAACGAGCAGAAACTCTGCCGCCACAGCAAGTAACCAACGACAAACTGATGCTCAACAGCCAGCAGTCACCACCCCTGGGTTCCAATCCTCTTCGAGGACCGAGCTCCTCAGTACCAGTAGCCCGCAACAAACAAACACGAATACCGGCACAGGAGCTTCACTCTCCCCCGAGGTCTCACAACCCAGTACGTCCCCGGCACTCGTGGCTCCTCTTCCCGAAAAACGTAGATTGCCAACTCAAGCCAATAATCCAGCGGAAACCATCGAGAACGTCGCATCCGAACACTCGGCTTATACGAGTTCCGACTCACGAGGAAGAACATCCCCTCCTCCTCTCTATTCCAACTCATGAGGCTTGTCCTTGCGAAGTGGTAGCGGCGTTAGTGGTATCTCGCCGCATACGGTCAGTAAACTCTCTACGAGTCAAGGCCGGCTATCGATATAACTTATGACATCTTCCTCATTATTATTTATGCGCTCATATCATAATGTAAATATCTGTCTTCCTTTTTTCTGCATTTCACGGTCACACTTTCCCACCTTGATAGCCACACTCTGTAGAGTAGGGAGGATATGTGCCAATACAAGCCTACAATCGTTTTTTCCAAAATTCAGTTGGTAGATTTGGGAGGCGTAAAGTTCGTCCACCTCTCGGGCGCCGTAATATAGACCCCCGATATTGGATCGCTAAGCTAGGCCTTGGCAATTCACTCACCCTACCTGTAAATTTAATTACAAAGGCCCCTCCATCTCTTTCCGTAAAATGAGTCAAACGGTAAAGTCCAAAATCATCCGTTGGGTCGCTCCACCAATCCTCTCCATACTGGATTCCGGAATAATAGTCGTCGAATATAGCTATTCGGGAT